TCTATGAGGCGCTATGCCGAGGCCAAAAAACAAACAAAAACGTTAGGACACCTGCCCGTGGTACCTGAGCACATGTGCCAAGCTTGGTCCCGCAAACTTGTGAGTGGGGTATGAATACAGTTTCAAAATTTGAGCCCCCAGGTTTTGGAGGGTGAACAAGAAAGAAAATTCCATGCCAAATTGGAGTTCGGGAACCCTGCAACTACCTTACACACCCATCATGCCTGGGTAATATTTAATGCAGTGTTTAGAATTGGCCAAAGAACTGTAGCCTCTTTTCATTTCGGCGGATAAAGTCAGGTGACTGCATAGAAAATTACTAAATAAAAAGTTGTTGTCAGAAAAATATTAGGGGTAGGTGGGAGACAATTAAATTCGGGCTCCCAGTTTAAGTATTGGGGAAGCATTCTGGACTCTGAAGAAGATATTGCGTCATAGTCTCACAACATTCGCTTCGCCAAGCTTGATAGTCAAAAGAAAGGCAAAAAGTTATTCCATTAATGTTTGAGGACTGGTAGAGAAACGTAACCTAAGTAACGTTTCCATAGTGAGAGAACAAGTTGGATGGTGTTACTTGTTTTATCAACTTTAAGCCACAGTGTTAATTCTTTCGTATCCATGTTAAGTCATTAAGGAATTATTTGTTTACAGCATATCTATGGTAAGAATGTCACAGTAGACTCTCTTTTATCTTATTTTCTTTATTAACCATAGCCCAGTCAGCTTTATTATTTATATAAATCATTGTAGATTTGCTTTTTCACATATTCATTAAACAAGTCACAGTGGAATTATGTCTTATTTATCTTAGTTTTATTTGTGATTCAGGTGTTGTACAAAGCATTTAATAAACTTAAGGTTTATCCAAAGATCCTTAGTGGTTCTATGGTTTATAACGCTAAATATGGTAGTTTGATCCCCACGGTTGGACCAATATAGAAAGCCCATTGCGTAGCTTTGTGCTTAAGAACTACAAAAAAGAAATAAAACAGTTATTCAAAGATTTGTGTTGCATATTTTCAAAGAAATATATTTGCTATTGATACATTTGAACAATCGCAAAACAAATATTTAAGTAATATCCAAAATTTGAAAGTAGCAGAACAGTCTCCAAGTGCTTTGTTTTTGATTTTAAATATAGTGTTACGTCTCTGTTCGTTTGTTAATTTCCGGTATAAATTCTTTCCGAGGAACTTCAGCGATACAAGTCCTTTCTTAAATAAAACTAGTTTATTCTTTCTCGATACAACTTTGTAATACCCAGAATTTCCACAGTCACTTTAACTTAGCTATTTTTATAAACATACGCTATAATTCACAGCTATTCAAACACTTTATTTACGGTGCCTACTGTTCGCTTGACTCAATTATCTATCTCTATATCTATCTATCTATGCAATTCTATATTTTTCGCTGGCTTTATTTGCCCAGCATGCTCCCAGCGTCGCGTGACTTGCGCTATCGTAAGAATAGTATGTTGAAAACTAGTAAATCAAGTCTTTTAATACTCTTTTGTGGTGTATGCAAATAGTGAGGAAGAAACTTCATAGTCAAAAGTCTTAGTTATTCATCACGTTATGTGTGTTATCGCATTATTTTAAAGTTCCACCTGATTCTAAAGTTAAATATATAAAGTGGATATACATATAATGGTTTACACTGAGAAGTTACTCAATTAACTCTGCTTAATTCTACTTCTCATTCAGAATCCACACGTTATTTTTATCGTATCAGTTAAGATATTTTCTGATGTAATCATTCTGTTAAAGAAATGTTGTTAACAAGTGTCCGTCAGTTTGAAGAGATGTACAAAGTGTAGGTTGCGGCTTCATGCCAGACAGTTCAAGTTTTTTTTTTTTTATATGACGGTTGAATGTTTTTAAATGGCAATTATCAAAATGAGTTATGATAACACAACATAAAAAAAAACGTTACGATTATTCATCATAGTGATTAAGTAATTCAAGTTTACTGATAATTCCCCTGCTAAAGATGACAATGGTTCCACGCTGACCTTTATTTTTACTTTAATATTTTATACTCTCATCTGGATAGCTAGTAGTACCAGAATCTCGTCATTAATATATGTTTTAATTTAAATTATTATTATTGATTAAAATTTAAACGACAATATTACCTTAATTACTTTGAAGTTAAAGCTGTTGTTTTTGTTTTTTACTACGCCAGGACTATTGCTAAGCTAAGTTTGTGAAAATGGTCTTTGGTTTATTTTCTTTACCTCGTTTAAATTTTTTCAGAACGATACAAATGGAAAGCATCTAGTGCCTATTGCACTAATTTGCACTGAAATTAAGCACTACTTCTGTATCAGTTTCTGATTACATGAAACTAAACAATCATACAGAATAGACGTAACATGTGATATCGAAGTTAGTAAGTAGTTATATATTTATCTTACTTTCTTTCATCAACACCATAGCAACAAATATAAACCTTCATGACGCATTGCAGGCTAATATTTTTGCAATAATGGAATTCTATCTTTCTAATTCGAACAGTTTACCAACCAATCAGCAGTTATTCTACTAGAAGAGTATATTCAGCATGTATAACACAAAGAAAAATTAATTTGATAGTAAATATGTTATCAAGATTAATATACACTTAATGAATTAAGATTTTTGAAATTGGTGTCTGATGAAATCAATCTGTATTCACTGCAGTTCCCACGACCAGTAAACCTGTAACTGGTGATATTTTCTGCAACCTTCCAAACGATGCAGGGCCATGTTTTGACTACTTAAAACGCTACTATTACAGCCCAGACTACAATCGATGTCTCCAATTTATCTACGGAGGCTGCGAAGGAAACGATAATAATTTTGAAACAAAGGCAGAATGCGAAGACGCTTGTGGAGGGGAACAAGTCCAACCTCGTAGAACTTCGAACATTTATGGTAATTGTTTTTCACTATTGTCAACGTTTTTGTTAGTATATGTCAGTGGTTCTCAGACCATTTCGCGGGGCAAGACCCTCAGCCGTGAAACGTTGCGCGTAAGAGATTTACATTTTGGACTAGCCCGTGCTCCACCAGTGAGCTGCGGACCACGTTTAAAGTACCACTGGTATAGTAAGTTAAATCAGTCAAGATGCAGGACGCCATAATATACTTATATAGAGGTGTTGTGAAACATTTTGAGTAGAAGTTCGCAACTGGTTTACATTAATGGTGCAAGTGGAAATAAACGTATGTTGGTTAGATTACTTGGTAACCCGAGGTTCAATTTTCTCAAAATCATGCTGGATCATTTAGAGGCTCGATGGCTCAAAACGCCTTGGTTAAGTAAAACAGATAGTGAATGACCAAGGTTATCTACCGATCCTCCCCCTCCAACACTTACTTGTGTTTCAAAACCTGCTCCTTAGCGTTTTCTTTTATAACTTAAATGTTTATTAGGTTATTAAAGATGAACAATTACTACATCTCTATCTATTAAGTTAAAATAATACGTACAACTTCAATATCTTTATCAGAGAAAAAAAGACATTAGTATGCACATATTTATCATGAGACGAGTCAAGGGTTTGGGATTTCTATAATGGTCTTTGCGTGGTGCATCTTTGTGTTGCACAAAGCATTTCTTCAGGGAACAACTTCAAGATGTTATCTCCACACATACTGACAGCAGTGGTTCTGTGGAGGAGCCTTGGCTTTGGGGTATTAGCCTCATTTGTGAAGTGCCATCCGCTTTCTTGTACAGGAGTTTGACTTGGATAGGTCTCAAGAGCTTTTCTCCCAATGGAAATATGGTAATAGGCTCCCCTTATGTGCAGATATAATGTACCTTAGTTAGTGGTAGTGAGTTAACGTTTTTCTTACCTTTATGAAATACAGTTCTTACTTCTTTTATGGATGTGGATTCAATTGATGAATCATATAGTTTATAAAACATGTGTTTCAGCATTGGAAAGCACTCTCATATCACGTTAGTTATCTTCAAGTTTTTTAAGTAAGTCAGAGCAGGTATCATATATGTTACAAGCAGATCGTTTGCCAATACCAGCAAATGGACTTATTGAATCACATCTAATTAAGACATAGAAAGCTAGCAGCGATGCTCTTACCGTATCGCTTACTTGGATCCTGTGTATTGGAATGTAACACTTTTTTTTTCCCCCTTTATGCAACCATACATGTTGACAAAGATTTGGCATATGTGTTACAAGGAGGACTATAACGTCAGTGTCACGACTAATGATGTTTACCTGATAAAATACACGGTTTTTAGCAACTTAGGCGTGGAGCAGGATACGTGTATTTCCTTCTTTATGGTTTGAACCCAGGCTAAATACATCACTGCTGTAAAAGATCGTACTTTCTTTGAATCTATGAAGCCTCCACACATCACGAGTTTTTTTTTGTTAGGGGTCATCAGGATGACTCTTGGCAAGCTCCATAGAGAGAAAGTTTGCCAGACGTGCCTTTTTTTTAAATCAAAAGCAATGAATATTTCTCAGTTTTCAATTTTCTGCTCCTTCATTGCACCTTTCTTTTGATGTCTTCATTTTTACCATCAGCATCTTATCGCATGTCCCCTGTTGGATGGATTTTTCCAACTAATGGTCTCATTAAATCTCTACTCTGATGCAACTTTCTGAAAACTGCGCATTTAAAACTTCTGGAACTTGTCACACTATACGCCAAAAGTCTTTTTCCTGAACGATTTACAAAAGATTGAGCAATTGCAGTGTCATTCATGATTTTAGTAAAATGGGCTTCAAGTTACCAAATAACCTAACCTAATCCTAGATCGAACAGTGTTGATATTTCTTCTAATGGATTCCTTGGTCCCAAAAATATAGGTATATCCATAAAGTATTTGCTGGAATATTGAAAGAAATAGGTTATACATAGTGGCCATCTTGAAATCCAATAAGGCCATTATACAAGGAATACCTGAAGGTAAGAAACTCTCAAGATGTGTAGTACCAATCATATCATTCATTTAAAGCAGTTGTAAACCCTTACTCAAAAATGCATATGCTATTTTTTCTGTATTTATATCCTGACTAAATCACAATTTAATGCAAGATTGTAAACTATTTCATAATTCTAAAATAAATCATGTAATTTAAGTAATATTCTCACTGTTTTAAGATGTAAAATTTCTAGAATTAGATGATAATATATAGTATTGATGAAATAAATGTTCATAATTACTTACAATTCCAATTATATAGAATTTTTACATTTTATATATATATAAAACAAGATTACTTGAATATTACCTTGTTTTTTATAACTACTGTTAAAGAATTTCTGGTAAGTAGCGAAAGAAGGATATTACCCTTTCCGTTGCATTTCTTTTGTTATATCTACCCTTTTTTATACCTGTTTAGTCTTAGTAACAGCATGACGTGTTTTACTTTGTTATTGATAATAAGGTATTGTTTATTAAAATGTTAGCATTGTTTCCATATTATTAAACTTGTATGCTATAGCTAGACGTTGAAAAACCAAATTATGAAAAGAAAAAAAAACGTCCAAGTGGCAGGCGAGAAGAATTAGACGCTTAATATTATTTATCCAGTTTCATTTTATATCTTAATTCTATATCCCACACTTCAAAATTTCAGAGACAGAAGCATAGATAATTAGATTCAGTACATTTTTTCTTTTAGATATCGGCGATTTGTCATAACATAGTCGTATACAAGTATTAGTATGTTATTCTGACTTTTCCACCACGTGCTTCGTTGCAGGAAGAAAAATGTATTTCGTGTTTAATGCCATACACCATGTATCTTATCTTTAACAGTCAGATCAGTTGCAAATGATGTAGTGAGAAGGAGATAGAGATGAGGCAAAACACTTTTCATCATTACCGTATAACTCAGCCTATTATTACTGGAACTCTTTAAGTATGAGCTATAATTATTAATTTAGATCAACTGGAGGACAATAGGTTTCCTATCTAGAAAGACATCTGGCATTCAACAACAGTAAACTTCATGTTAGCAAAACACAATACTTATTACAATATTATATTACCAGTAATCAGATATTGTACATTAAATAAGTATTTAATCTTGTAGATACCAGGGATCGGCTCGCTGCCTCCCTAAACTGTCGCGGATTACTAAAATACAACAACAACGAAAAACCATTACGACTTGCATATTAATATTCTGTCAGTTTTTGTTTGTTTTTATAAAATTCCACGGATTGGCAAGGTGGTTGAGAAACAATGCACTAAATGACTTTCAGCAGTAATTTAGACTGACACTAGGGTACAACACATTCATAAATTCTTGTTGGTTTGAGAGAGCGAACGGAGAAAAATCGAAACAACTTAAGTAAAACTATCATGTTTGTTTTTACAAACTTGAATAAACAAGGAAGGGGTAACGGTAGATATAGCAGCAATTCACATAAAGGTTTAGCCGAAGAGTTATCACTAGGACAAAAATAAGAAAATGTATGATTACTTGAAAGTTTTTACACGTTTTGATTCTATTTATATTTTCAATCTTGTTCAAATTTATTCATGAGATTTTTAATTATATCGTTTTATAAGTAAAGAAATTACAGGTGGAGTATTTTGTGTTGCGTTAATGTAAAAAGAGATGGCATGGCTCGGTCATGTAACAAGAGCTACAGACCCTAACTAACACCATTCTACAAGGTTTAGTGGTTGGAAGAAGAAAGAGATGTTGTTCCAGGACAACAAGGCAAAACAACATTGCCACATGGGATGACCCACACGGAACTGCCAAAGACCAATAGAAGTGGAGGGAAGTTGTTGCCAGTGGTTCAGTAATGGTGTCCCTGCGATCAAGACGGTTGGTCGGTTTGTTGAATTTCACGCAAAACTACTCGAGGTGAAGTGATAGACTAGAGGTAACTCAACATCATCCACCGCCAACTCTTGGATTACTCTTTATTAAACAACAGTGGAATTGACCAACCCATTATAACACCCCCATAGGTGAAAGGGTGAGCACATTCGATGACTAGTTTCGAACACGCAACCAGGATATAGTGAGTCGAACACTCTAACTACCAGGCCATTCCAGGCTCCATCGAGACGGTTGAGGGACAATTGACTTGATTGAAATAATGCAAAAAGAAAATACCGTCTATTCAAGGAAATTTTTTTGAGTAATGTGGTTACAAGAAAATACGAACTTTGCAGCTTCAAGGAAACATCTATCACCGATTGTTTTGATTATTTTATTGTAACATAATATTCTAAGACAACATTTGTTTAGGTGAATTTCATTTTTCCAATTGAACAGTAACGTACCCAACAATTTAAATGTAAATGCTTATGGCATAAATTTTGAAGTAATGAATTCAAACAATTACAGATAAAGAAAAACGAACACAATCCAACTTCAACCTTTTGACATAATGTAGTGAAGTTCTTTCAGTATATCAAATACTTTGCATTATTTGTAATGACTTCAAAGCGTAGATATCAGTCAAAAAACGATTTCTTTATTACTAGTTATACAGCAGTCAAGTAAATTGTTCTTTGACTGAAATTCTCCATTCCGATAAAGCGTTATCAACATCGTTTGAGTTGATTGGAAGTTAATATCAATTAATAAATAACTTAATCATGTTCTTTAGCTTGATTACCTGTAGGTAATAAATTACATATGGTTTGGAACTAAAATGCATATAAGGAATTTTCCAGGGTTTTTATACAACATATTTCGTTTTTACTGTTGTTGATAAGGTGAGTGGCATAAAGTAGTGAAATATCTAAAATTTACCGGGACACCTTTTTCACATTCTAAGGTTGTTGAAATATTTGACCATCTCACAAAAGAATGTGGAGATTTACAAGCAAAGATGACTCTTAAACCGGAGTTTAACTGTAATTAGTTGCTGTTGTTGTTTTTGCGACGATATTTAACATCTCATCACTCTTTCTTGACTACATAGTTCCACTGTCTGCTCCAAAAAATCTGTTGGTCACCAAGTCCAGAGAGAAGTCACATACTCTTGAACTTCACTGGAATACCCCTGCCCAAGCAACTGAGGAAATAGTCGGTATGTATAATATTAAAACGAGGTTTTCATTATAACGTTTCAGAGTTTGAAGAATTACGCGCAACACTGCAGCAATGTTGCCTGACATTATGGAAATGCAACATGTCCATATAGTAAAATAATAGAAGACAACTTTAGAAGTTAGTTCAAATAGTTCCATAGTAAATACCTAAACGCCAGTCATTGTATGTGCTGTTCTTTACTAATTATAATGTTTAATTGAAAGTGCAAATGGTCAGAAAGAATGCAGTACTCAGTGACTGCTGTCAGAGAGTAAAAGGGACTTTCAACACTTCGTATTTTGTAAAACAATCGTGAGGGTTTCATGTTGTAAAGGATTATAACAAATTTTCAATGTCGCATGCACAACGAATGTTATTAAAACGCTTTGTTTTATTTTTTGGAATAATGTAACCTTCAAGTATTATTATTATAATTTACTTCGAATCTGGAATAGTCAGTTAGAAACAAAAATTAAATTTACGCATGGTCAAACCTGTTTATAAAGCTACCTCGAAATATGCACGACTTGCACTAATTAACATGACAAATAATAATTTTATAATTAAGTTACTCCTTTAAAACATAGAGACTATTTATTCATAATAACTGGAAAGAACGACTGAACAGTTGTTTGCTATTTTGAAGGAATACAAAAGAATTGGTTAGGTTCACGACAGCAAAATTCTTATTTTTTCGTAAAGTACCTTAGAGCACGTTAGGTAAGAACTAACATAATGTGTTTTACTTAAATAAACCTAAAACGATAAATTCAAACAGTATTAACTTTCATCAGTCTATATAGGTTTATGATAAAGTACAAAACTGGATGCATGAAACAAAACTTCCTACAGATTACCTTCCCCACTTTGGCACACACAGAACTTTTTGGGTTAGTGTTTCCTCAATTTAGCTCTGTTGTTTGTTTCGAATTTCGCGCAAAGCTACACGAGGGCTATCTGCGCTAGCCGTCCCTAATTTTACAGTGTAAGACTAGAGGGAAGGCAGCTAGTCATCACCACCCACCGCCAACTCTTGGGCTATTCTTTTACCAACGAATAGTGGGATCGACCGTCATATCATAACGCCCTCACGGCTGAAAGGACAAGCATGTTTTGTGTGACGGGGATTCGAAGCCGCGACTCTCAGATATTAAGTAAATCTTGTAGAGGCATTAATTTACGTAGTTACTAAAAGTGGACCGTTGTTCTCAGTTTTCCATATTTTGCCAGCTTCGATTATATATGCGCCATACAATTAATTCACAATATTTTTAACATGTATAATTTCCAACATTATGATTTTTGTTCTTTTTTTTTACATATTTTGTTCAACCATAGTTTACAAAACAACAACAACAGATCTAGTTGGACATTTCTAGTTCGAAAATTTCAGTACTTTTGTTGTCAAGCCAATAAAATGCCTTCTGCCTCTTGTAAGGAATAAACATTGAATTTATTTTACTTCTCTTAAGGATACGTAATATATTACTCGTTCGGTACACCGGAGACGCCTAGTAGCTGGAGAGTGATGAAAGTATCTGGGAATAACACCTTTGTCACAATATCAGATCCTCATTTAGAAAATTACCAAAAAAGCCTCATCATCCGATTACAGGCTCGTGGAAAAGAGCGCTTTGGAACAGTTTCTGACGACTTTGTGTTTGAAGTTGAAGACTGTAAGTAGAAATCAATAAGTAATGCCTTATTTTATTTGTTTGTTTTGAATTAAAACTAACCTATTTTCATGTGTTTATCTTTTTGTTTGTATGCTGAATTACTCGAAAGCCATCTGAGCTAGCCGTTCTTATTTTAGAGAGACAGACAAGAGAGAGAAGGCAGCTAGTCACCATTAACCACCGCAAACTCTTGGACTACTTTTTACCAACCAATAGTAGGATTGACCATCAAATTATAAAGCCCTCACGGCAGATTACGAGTCGAGTGAATCTAGCCTCAATGCTTCCTATAATGAAACCTTTTCAAATAATATATATTTAATATCAAAAAGCAAAAACGCTATTAGACTTATCAACATTACGATGTACAGTTTTCCCATGCAAAATTAAAACTTCAAATATCTCACGTAAATACTTGCAATTGTTTTTTACTAAGCCTAAACGACACTTGGCTCTTAAGATTCCAAATGTACAAAAAAGTACATATATTTGCTTAAAGCGCGCCTATATCTTAAGAATTAGTTCATTTCGTTAAACCTTTTATTATAAATTTTATGATCTCAAATTCCTAAGGTATTTCTGAAACACTAAACGAAAACAGAATATTTTATGTTTCTGTAATCTAATTATTGCCATAACGTAAATATGAAAATACCGAGCGCTGTAAACCTGTGGAGAGCAACAATTTCGTCATAGCAAAAATTTTCATTTTTATATTTCACTCGCAATAAATAAGCCTCCAATACGTTTATGGAATACAACACGTTTCTTCCCCATATTCAGTTATCATAAAGCCCAATTAAATGCTGGTATTTGAACATATCGTCTAATTAACCTGTAACAAGGAAGAACAGAATAGATTAAAAACCTTATAACTTCGTTTTAACAACAAATCAAAAGACAATCGATATCGTTCTAAATATTTTATAACGAGCAAAAGAGTAATATACTGGGTAACAGTAAGTGTCATCCACTTTTTGGATGTTTAAAACATATGTAGTAACTAATCGATAATATTCTACAGTTGTGACAGGTAGAAAAGCCGATAGTCATTTAGAGGCAAATACTTTCTGTCATCTTCCAAGTGACTCGGGCCCATGTAGAGCCGCTTCCAGAAACTATTACTACAATTCGGAAGACAAGCGATGTAAAGTATTTATCTACGGAGGCTGTGAAGGGAACAAAAACAATTTCAAAACCAAAGAAGAATGTGAAGAAACATGTGGAAGTGAAATTCATACTTCGAATCACAATGGTAACTTGTCTTTGAGTTATATATATA